ACTTACTTTGCAATCTTTTGACATTTTAACTACACATTTAAATGAACCAATTAGTCACTCAAATGTGTTTTGTAATCATCAAAATCATAGGTACAACAATCTCCCCCTTTTTGATGATGACATAACACTTTGAAAATAAATTAACGAAAGTACATATATATTTCAATGATAGCTCATATGGAAACAAAAATTTCAGCATACTTTCTCCCTTTTTTTGTCATCCATCAAAAAGCATATAAGCATAATTAGCAAACTCCCCCTTAATTCATGCATACAGCGTTTAAAGCATCAAAAATATGTGATTTAAGCACAATATCCACAAATTAGTCCCCCTCAATGAAAGCACTTAAGATCATAATCATCAAAATCATAGGCAATTATAAAGTCATATACAATTAAAATCCACAATTCATGATAATAAGTTAAGAAATGTGCATAGATAATGAGGGCAAATTTTGGGAGAGAATCAAATCTTGAATGTGAAGAGAGGAAAATCGCCAAATATTAAAAATCTATCACAATTAAGAGGCTTTGTAGTAAACAAAGATATCTCATTCCAAAGAACTATGAAGGTCAAAAAAATTCTTTCTCTCCTTTTTGTTATCCAACAAAGAAAGTTTGGAGACCATATGAAGAGCAACAATAGAGCTCTCCCTTAATAAAATGACTCATGAAAACATGAACATACTTATATAACAATCTCATTAGTAGCACCAAAAACAATGTTAATGCCATCATTAAGTACAACATGTATGTTTCTTACCCTTGAGATATATTATTATTTATCACATTACCTTTATAAGATCTCTCTTTTGGGTAGAATTATAACCTTTGTTTTGGTGCTTGTTGCATCTCCTCAATCTTGTTCTTTTCACTTGCTTCACATGGAGGTTGTGTGATGCTATTGCCTTCAATGTTGATTCTTATCTTTGTTACCCAATAACATCTACATTACAATTTCACAACTCTTTCTAGAGCAAATGGGGTTAGTCTCATTGAATACTACATGAATAGATTTAGCACTATTACTCCTTTTTATATGTATCGTATCATATGATAGCAAATATCAAAAATTTTATTCATTGAAATCAACCATGACTATGCAAGCATTCAAGTGCATGACATACACTTGTACATAATCAAATATTATCAAAATCATCCATCAAAAAGCAAACATACAAATTTCCTAATATACTTAACTTCCAAGTGTAAGACTCTTCCTAATATCATGCTTAACTTCCAAGTGCTATCATTAAAATTATGAAAATAATGAGACAAGTAAATTTGAATGAGACAAACAATGTAAAGTAAGACAAGTTATTAAAATTACTCATTTAAATCAAATCATCAAATCATCAACCATCTTCAAAGTGACACATATGTCATTGAAAATCACTTATACCATCAAGAGCTCATTATGAACTATATATGATAGATAATCAATCTAATCATTCACATATGTCAAGTATGTAAATATGATACAAGTAATATCTATAACAATTAACGAGGTTGTATCAATACTAAAAAAGACACATCAAATGAAATCATACTCAACAAGCATATGTATCAAAGAGTGAGCACACATAAGCAAATAATTAATAGTCATGTTAATGTAATTATACTCAATGAATAAATGCAATAAGATAAATAGTACCAATTGAGCACATGAGTGGAGCATTCAAAAATAAATTTTTTTTGCACTTTCACTCCAACATTCTTGTTGAGGCATAAGTCTTTATCAAGATCAACTTTACTATTCTTATGACTTTGCCATCAACTTTAGTTACAAAACAAAATTAAGTTTTGATTTTTGGTATCCAAATTTGCTTGGGTCCATGGGGGTTAGTGCTTAAAGTTCCTTTTGGAACCCAAATGTGCTTCACTTTACCTTGAGCTATCAATCTCTTCAAAGGACATACATAGGCAAAGTGTCCCTTTGCACCACAACAATAGCAAGTAACATTAGAATGAGAGGATTGACTTGCTTTTACAAATGAATTCTTACAAGTCTTTTTCTTTTTAGAATAATCAAATCCAATGCCCCCTTTGTCATAAATACTTCTTTGAGATTTTAAGATAGAATCAAATTTTTCTTTACTCAAGGTAAATTTGGAAATCACATTCTCAAGATCACAAGATTTTCTCTTTAAAACCTCATTTTCCTTCTTTGCCTCCTCATTTTCATTTTTCAAAGCATTATTAGACTCCTCATTCTTTAGAGATGTAATTTCACCATTTAAAGAGTCATTTTCTTTAACTAAAGCTTCATTTTGTTTTGAAAGAGATACAATCTCATTTTTAAGCAATGAAATGGTTTTAGTAAGAGCAAGATTCTCATTTCCTAGTTTCTTGATATCATTCATAGAGCAATCAAGAACTTTGCATAAATCATCATAAGAATACTCAAAGAAACTTTCATTAATTGAACTAGAGAAGTTAGAGTTTACCTCCTCATCATTGTTGCTATCCTCTTGAGCCATGAAGCAAAGATTTGCAATACCATTTTCCAAGGAGCTTTCACTTTCTGTTGAGCTAGTCTCATCATTGCTCCAAGTGGCGGTAAAAGCTTTCTTCTTCATGCTCTTCTTGTTTTTCCTTTCACCCTTCTTCAATTGAGAGCATTCATTTCTATAATTCCCCATCTTGTTGCACTCATAACATTTGATATGCTTCTTGCTTGGCTTTCCTTTATCATCATAATCACTACCTATTCTTCTTCTAGAATGGTGCATTTCCTTGTTTCCTCTAGAGGATGTCCCTTTGAGGCTTTTCTTCATGTATTTCTTCACTTCCTTTGAAACCAATTTATTGATGTCCTCCTCATTGCTAGCATCATCTTCACTTTCTTCTTTTTGTTTGCTAGCCTTGAATGCAACATCCTTCTTCTTCTTCTCAAGTACTTCAACTCCACCGTCAACTTGAACTTCTATCTCATATGTCATCAATTTTCCAATGAGATCTTCAAGTTTGAGAGTGTTGAGATCCTTAGACTCTTCAATTGCGATCTTCTTGGCTTCCCAATTCTTAGGCAAGCTTCTAAGAACCTTCCTCACCATTTCTTGAGAAGGATAAACTTTACCAAGAGCCTTGAGATTTGTGACTATCATTCAATCTTGTATACATATCTTGAATGCTCTCTTCCAGTTTCATCTTGAAAAGCTCATACATGTAAATGAGTCTATTGATTTTTGACTCCTTCACTTGACTTGTTCCTTCATGTGTGACCTTTAACATATCCCACATCTCTTTAGCCATATCACACCCGGCAACTCTATTGTATTTCATTGCATTGAGAGCACATTGAAGCATGCTAATTGTTTTGTTGTTGATCATGATCTTCACCAAGTCTTCATCATTCCATTCAACTTCTTTCTTTGGCACCTCACTTTCCCTAACTACTTTCATAGGCACATATGGACCTTTCATAGTCACAATCCATGCCTTGGGCACATTTGCAAGCATGAAAACCTTCATCATATTCTTCCAATAATTATAATTAGTGCCATCAAAGAAAGGAGGCTTAGTGGTAGACAAACCTTCAAGTAGTTGAGAAGCTTGAAATTGAGCCATCCTTGATCAACTCCTAGGTGGTTAAACCTTCAAATTGGAGCCCTTGCTCTGATACCAATTGTTGACTCAATATACTTCAAGAGGGGGGGTGAATTGGAGTTGAAAATTTTTCACCTCTTTGCAACCATCAAACAAAAATCAAAGAGAGAGTAGGGAAGAAAAGCTTGCACAATGGTTTTACAGAGGTTCGGTCCAACCACTTGGAACCTAGTTCTCTACTTTGGCTTCACTCACTAAGGATTTCCTCCACACTTTTCGCTAACAAAATCAAGTGTGGCTTAAAGGAGCTACTTAATCCTTTTACAAGAAGAAGGGTGCTTCTCTCAAATCTCACCCCTTTACAAGATAAACTCCAAAAATCCTTTTGATAGATCACTCTTGAAGGAATAATCACACCCCCAAGATCACTCACAAATAGAACAAGAAGAGGATTACCAGTAAAGATCTCTCAAAGATCAAAAACTCAAGTTAAAGCTCATGTAGGTAGGTAAAGATATTTAATGCAATGCTCTCTAAACTTGCTTCAGATCTTTTACCAACCATATTTATAACCTCGTGGTTGAAAATAGCCGTTACTAGCCATTGGGGGTCATTTAATGCTCTGTAGGTCGCTTAATTTGAGTTGCAGAATTATTAGCACAGTCAGCTTACACTTCTAGAGCCGGCTCTGAACAGCCGGCTTAACTTTTCTACAACCAGCTTTGCGAGTTTCCTACACATTTTGTTTTCTTACACAGCTGGTTGCAAATCATAAAGTTGGCTTTGGGATTCCAACTTTAAACACATTAAATAATCTTCAAATAACTCGACCGGTGTGCATTAAATGGACCTTGACAGCCGGCTGCAAAGTTGGAGCCAGTTTTGTGTCTTTTTTCTGCGCGTGCTAAACAATTGACTTTTAAGTTTTTACCCGTAGAGTCGGCTGCAGCTTCCAGAGCCGGCTATCTGCACTTCCATAGCTGGCTGCAAGTTTCAATAGCTGGTTCTCTACACATTTTCAAGCCTTTTGGTTCATTTTTAGTGCAGTCCAAGTTTACTTACTTTGCAATCTTTTGACATTTTAACTACACATTTAAATGAACCAATTAGTCACTCAAATGTGTTTTGTAATCATTAAAATCATAGGTACAACAAAAAACCCAACAAATGGTATCAAAGCCTTATTGATCGTTGAGGGACTGTGATAGAGTTAATCGAAGCATAACCAAAACCAACCAAACCGAGTGTAAACACATGAGTAGAGAGCACCCTATTGTCATGGAATCCAGCATGTCTTTTTCACCAAAAAATTTAATCTTCAATGGCCAAAATTACAACATTTGGGCTGTTAAGATGAAAGCTTATCTTTAAGCCTTTGAACTCTAGGATGTAGTCGAGAATGATACTTAACCACCTGCTCTACCAGCTAATGCAACTTTGTCACAAATGAGAAGGCATAGTGAAGAAGCTTCCAAACCTTACAAAGCTCTCTCTTGCTTGCATTCCTTTGTGAGTGATGAGATTTTCAATAGGACATTCATTATGAAACAGCAAAAAAGGTGTAGGATAGGATTACAGAAGAGTTTCATGGAGATGACAAAGCTAAACGTATGCAAGTGATGAACTATAAGAGAGAGTTTGTAGTCTTGAATATGAGGGATTTTGAAATTGTTCAGGAGTATTCAAATTGTCTTATGAAGGTGGTGAACCAAATGATGGTGCTTGGAGAAGATGTGCTTGACAAAAGCGTTGTGGAAAAGGTCTTGGTAAGTCTTCCTGAGAAATTTGAGCACAATATCTCTTCTCTAAAAGATTCAAGGGACTTGATCAAGATTCCCTTAACTAAGTTCATTAGTTCCCTGTAAGCAATGGGCCAAAGAAAGGCATTAAGACTTGAAAATGCCATAGAATGTGCACTTGTAGCATTTGGCAGAAGCAAAGCTCAAATAACAGAAGTTGGAATGGGTTATGCTCTTGAGAGAGAAGGAAATGAGAAGAAAGGGTATTAGAACCACAAATATGAAAACAAAAAGGAGAGCTATACACCTTACTCTCATTGCAAAAAGAAAGGCCATTCCGAGAAAATTGTTAGTTTAGGCCTGGAGTTCAATGCATAAAGTGTAAGCAATTTGGACATGTTGAAAAGGTCTGTAAAGAAGGTTGAGTTCAGCAAGCCAAAATTGCAAATATTGTTGAGGAGGAAGACCATCTGTTTTGTGGCTATAAAGACTGAAGATTGCAATGCAGTCATCTTGAGCAGTAACTCTTAGTGGATTGATAGTGGCTATACAAACCACATGACCCCAAATGCAGCTATATTCAAAAGCCTTGATAGAAAATACAAGTCAAGAGTTAGACTTGGAAATGGAGAATTGGTGGAGGTCAAAAGCAAAGGAGTAACTGTTGTTGAGACACAAATAGGTATCAAATACATTTATGATGTACTATTTGTACCTAATCTTAGCTATAGCTTGATTAGTGTGGTTTAGTTGATTGAACATGACAAAGTATGTGAAATAAAAGATAAATTTGGTTTAAAATTGTTCATCATTAGAATGAATGAAAGGAGTTTCCTTATATAATGAAAACAATTTGAAATTAATCCAAAGGCTAGTGTTCTTAATGTGAACAAAAGTGTGAAATTTGATGAAAGTGCAACTTGGAATTGGGAAAGTTCAAAAATTATTGTTTCAATGCAAGTTCTTATAGCAAACGATGAACCGGCATTTGATTTTGAGAATGATGAAGTTGAGAAAGACGACAAGAATGAATTTGATGGTGATTTTGCTATTAGAGGGAGCCAAACACTAGCTAACATCAATGAAAGGTGTAATATGGTCATTGAAGAACCTACAAAATTATTTAGAAGCTACAAGATCAAAGGCCTAGAGAGCTACAATACAAGAGGAGTTCAATATGATTTAGAAAAAATATGCCTTAACATTGCTGAACAAGTATTTTATGGAGAGTTGCAAAGTTGTTAAAACTCCATTGGTTCTAGGAGAAAAATTTAAAAATGAAGTTGTCAATAGTGATGGGGTAGGAAGCGACGAAAGTATGAAAAACACTTCAGGTTATTGCTTTTCTATTGGTTTTGGTATGATTTATTGGTTGTCAACCAAGCAAGATGTAATGGCTCCACCATAGTGGAGGCAGAATATATTTCTATTACTAATGCTATAATCATACTGTGTGTTAAGAAAAATGATGGTTGACCTATTGGAACCTCAAGTGAAGATGAAAGTGAAGGAACTTGTTCATTGTTGTTCAAAAGAACAAGTTTCTAATATTTTTCCAAAAGGGATAGCAAAAGTCCATGTTTGAAGAAGAACTTGATGTTTGTAGCTTTATTGTCAAGGAGGAGTGTTGAGTTTAATAGTGATAGCAAAGCTAGACATGTCCAGCAAGTTTTTGAAGTTACAGCATATTGAATAGCCAAAGGAATGAAACAAGGCAATTGTTGCTTAGTTATCTTTTGAATGTAATTTGGGAAATAGGTTGTTGGTTTCAAAGTTCAATTTGTATTGATATGCTATCCTTTTTTTCGTTGTTTACTAATATGTTAGACCATTGGCTACATACAAAGAGATTAGGCAGTATAGCTTTGGGAAATGTAGAAGTCAATTCTTAAATTTTTTTCATTTTTACTTTTTGTTATGTACAAAAGTTTGAATTGATCAGAAATGCAGTGAGTTCTGTCCTTCATCTTCTTCCTGATTTTATATCCATTTATTTGTGAAAACCCAACATTAATTACATTAAACAAACCAAAGTGTTAATTGATGGTAGTCATTGTCAATTTTTTAGGCTTACATTAGCTTATGATAATGTTTCGGTGTTTCCTACGTCTCTTATTTTTCAAATTTTGGGTGTTGCCATCAGGAGGCAGCCAAAGCATTCTATATCTATTATCTCTAATTGACACCCACTTGATCACCAACTATTCTCATATCTGTGCATTCTATTAGAGACAGCTTTGATTGCGTGTCCTTAGCTACATGAGTTTTCAAATCATTAGTGTGCTAGAACACACTTGATGTGATGTCTAATTATGCTGATGTGGAGTTCGACCAATTGCTACTGATGTAAAGGATTAGAACACAGCATATATATATATAAATACTCTCATTAGTCCCTTTATTCTATGCGTTGCATTTTGAATATTTCGTCGTTTCTTTTTTTCTCTTTGCATTTATTTGCAACGGAGATTCTTATCAATATATTACATTTGTACAGCAATGGCACTTTGGCATACATTTGTTAAGCTAAAAGGAATAAGTGTATGACTCCATCATCACCAATATTTACCAACCATGGACTATGGCATGGCAACATCACCTTGTAGGCAAGAGTCTAGAAATGTAAGGGAGGGACTCCGTTACGTAAACAGGTATCTCACCAATCTAGTGAGTGGGCTTGGAATATTTATTGAATGTTTTTTTCATATCAATCCACTGCTAAACAATTTAAATAAGTATTGGCCTGACATTTGACGCAATCAAAATTTCAAGTTTTGGGAGCATGAGTGGGATTTCCACAGTAAGTGTTCAGAAAAAAACTTTTCACATTATTGTTACTTCAAACTTGGGATTAACAAGATAAAGATCCTATCCTACGATCTCAAGCAATTTTTTTAGAAAGTGAGTTACACTCTAAATAATCAACTAGTGGATCCTCATTTACTTACAAAAAAGATGGCACTAGAAATTGGAAAATCTCTCGAATTACGTTGCTAGAATAATACTAAAGATGTGTTGTAATTGGTTGAAGTTGGACTATGCTTCGATAGATTGGGAGCAACTATTATAAATTGCCCAAATGAATTTAATATAACTTGTGATTCTGTTAAATTAAAGTTGACTGCTATCACCAAGCCCATTCTTCTTCCCAAGTAGATGTCTTTTATAAACAATTTATATAAACAATTTACCTCTTGTATTATCTATTGATGCATAAATTTTATATCTTTATATGAATAGCTTATTATACATTTATGCTGATTGAATTATGTTTCTTTAGAAAAAAACACTATTATTATTTTGTTGATATTATCATGAACTATATATAATGCATGCTTGTAGCTCAAA